ATCTCCTTTCACCAGACCCATCTAGACAAGATGAAAACTATTCAGTGGGGATTCTGCCTTCCCCCCACTCACTCTGTAATTAAGCTCCCTCTTGAAAATTTGTAAAGCAGCCACTTCATGCCTTTATCCCTCCCTCCCACCCCATTTTAGGTAGCCAATATCTAAGTTGCCTGTCCCTATCAACCCTGTATACAGAGGGGATAGGCTTGATCCTTGATGTGAAGACTCTTTCCCTCTCAGCTGGTATTTTAAGCAACTACTTCCATAACAAAGGTCAAGTTCATCAAATTGTAGCATTTTATACTTGCTTCTGGTATCAAACTTTATCTTCCTCTAATCGAGTTCTGATTATCAAGCCATCCAAGCTAGGTCAAATGGGTACTATCTGCAAGTTTGGGCATTCTTGCACACCTGCTGTATTGTATCTGCTGGACACTTCATTCAGCTCTAGCCCCCACTAACTAGGTCAGTATCCATGGGCTCAGGAATTTCCAAGTCTCCCCAAACGTCAGACCAACCTGCCTTTTCTCTTCTCTCTATTATCAAGGTCAACAGGAGTTAATGGAATATGGTTGAACTCAGCCCATGTCTTCATTGCTCCCTTTCCCCCACTTCCACTCACAAGTAGACCAACATGGTCACCAGTGAGCTTACAAGTCTGCACATGTGCTCCCTTTGAGTTTCAATCATTGGGTTTGTCCTGAAAGGCCTTGATGGATCTCAGGTGATGAATAGCTTGTTTGTTCTTATAATAGCCAGTCTGCTTTTTTTTCCGTCTCTCTCTGCTGGTCTTTCTTTCAAGAAGTATCTTCTGTTCCACTAGCTGCTCTGGGTTGGTCAGCATGTTGTTTCAAGTGGGAATGTCCCACCTCAGAAAGTTCTGCATGGGGGCTCAGGATTCCACCTACGGCCCCATACTCCACAAAGGTTCAACAAGAAGCCTATTTTGCTAGGCAAATTCTAGAACCCCTTTTAGGTATTCTAATCAGTTGTTAATCTCACGGTCAGCAGTTCGAAACTACCAGCTGTTCCACAGGAGAAAGGTGAGGCTTTCTGCTCCTGTAATGACTTATAGCCTCAGAAACCCTGTGCAGGGTCGCTATGAGTCAGAACTGACTCCACGGCACATGAAAACAACAAATCAGTTATAGGCTGAAGACAGGCTTACAGCTTTCTATAAACATATTTCCTAATATTCCTTTCTATCCCACTTAAATGTCTATTTTACAATAGTAGGCAAGGGAAACCAATAGCCACAAGACAGTCAAGCACCTTAACTTTATTTCCCCTCGTTTGCCCATTCAGACATAGTCCCCTACTCCCTGTATCACAGAGCCCTGTTGTTCCAAGGTTGAGCATATATGTCACTATTTCCTCTGTCCCATTTAGCCCATGCAAACCTGCCTAAGTGTTCCCCTATCTTCCTTGTTCTTCCACCCCTCCCTCTTCTTGTGTTTTTCCCTATATTTCTTTATATATTGCCTTACCCATCACCCAAACTATGATATAGCTGTCCCCTAACCTGTGCCATACTGTCCCATGCCCCCAGGTAATCATCAAAGAATTTTTAAATTTTAGTATGAAAATCTTTTTTGTAAGCTTTTATAATAATGATCTTATGCAATATTTGTCAATTTGTGACTAATTTCACTAAGCATAATGTCCTCAGGGTTCACCTATGTTATGAGGTATTTTACAAAATCCTCATTATTCTTCAAGGTAGCATAATATTTCGTTGTATATATGTATCAAAGTTTGTTTTTCCATTCTTCTATTGATGGGCACTTAGTCTGTGTCCATCTTGTTGCTGTTGTGAATAGTGCTGTGATAAACATTGGTGTGCATGTATCTACTCATGTTTGGGCTTGTATTTCTTTTTTTTTTTTAATTATACCACAAGAGACCTATCCCCATCTCCTTTCATCAGCCCCGCCTAGACAGATTGGATACTACT